ATAGTCAAATAAGAAAAAAAAAAACTAAGAAAACTGAAGAAAGCTTATAAACTATATGAGACAGCATCAAAACAGCAAATATTTGAGTCATAGGAGTTCAAGAAGAAAGAGAAAAAGTGATAGAATATCCCAAATCTAGAGAAGATATAAATATCAACATATAGGAAGGGCAAAAATCTCCCATCAGATTTAATCCAAACAAGAATAGACGAAGGTATATTATAACCAAACTGTCAGAAATCAAACACAAAGATCCTGAAACCAACAAATAAATAAATAAATAAATCACATATAACAGAGTTCAAATAAGCCTAGCAGCAGTTTTCTCAGTAGTCATCTTACAGACCAGGAGAGAATGGAATGATATAGTCAAAGTGATGAAAAGGAAGGGCAAAAAATGTTCACCAAGAATACTGCACAAGATTGTAAAGTTTAGCTCCAGATTCACTATAAGAACAAACCAGCAATCCTGAAAGGACCCATACACCCTCTGAAGAAAGCAGACTGCTCTTGCAGGACCCAGGAGACACTGCAAATACTCTGGGAGGTGGAAAGACTCGGGCAAGTTTTCAAGCCCGCCTTCCACCTAACAACAGATTCAGGGATGTCGTGGGTGGCATGGTGGGAATGAGACCAGCCCTTCCGTTTGCTTGGGAGCTGAGTGACTGCCACTTTTCCTCACTTCCCTGATAACATTCATGATTCAGCAGAGGCAGCCATAATCCTCCTAGGTACCCAACTCCAGTGTCCTGGGAATCTCACCCCATCCCGACAGTAGCCACAGCAAGATCCACCCAAGGAAAGTCTGAACTCAGACACACCTGGTCCCATCCCCACCTCATAGTACTTCCCTACCCAACCTGGTAGCCTAAGACAAAGGACATATAATCCTGGGAGTTCTAGGGCTCCACCCACTGAAGGTCCCTCTCCACACTACTACAGCTGATGCTTTCTAGAAAGCACCACCTCCTTGCAGGAGGCACATAAATAGAGCTTTAAACCACCAAAGCTAAGAACTCTGAGTCCGTTGCACCCTCCACCACCTTCACCAGAACAGGCATTGGTATCCATGGCTGAGAGACCCACAGACGGTTCACATCACAAGACTCTGTACAGAAACCCTCAGCACCAGCCAGGAACTGGGTAGACGTGCTGGGTGGCTAGACCAAGAGAGAAAACAATCATGCAGTTCAGCTCACAGGAAACCACAACCACAGGAAAAGGGGGTGAGTACTACATCAAGGAAACCCCCTGCAGGACAAAAAAATCTGAACAGCAGACTTCAACCCTAGGCCTTCCCTCTGACAGAGCCTATTCAAATGGGAAAGAACCAGAAAACCAACCCTGGTAGTATGACAAAACAGGGCTTGTCAACACCCCCCAAAAATCAAACTAGTTCAGCAGCAATGGATCCAAACCAAGAAGAAATCCTTGACTTACCCGAAAAACAATTCAGGAGGTTAGTTTTTTTTTTTTTTTTTGAGACAGAGTCTCATTCTGTCGCCAGGTGCCAGGCTGGAAAGCAGTGGTGCAAGCTTGGCTCACTGCAACCTCCGCCTCCCAGGTTCAAGCAATGCTCTTGCTTCAGCCCCCCAAGTAGCTGGGACTACAGGCACGCGCCACCATGCCCAGCTATTTTTTTTTTTTAGTAGAGACGCGGTTTCACCATGTTGGCCAGGATGGTCTTGATCTCTTGACCTCGTGATCCACCTGCCTCGGCCTCCCAAAGTGCTGGGATTACAGGCATAAGCCACTGTGCCTGGCCCAGGAGGTTAGTTATTAAGCTAATCAGGGAGGGACTGGAGAAAGGCAAAGCCCAATGCAAAGAAATCCAAAAAATGATACAAGAAGTGAAGGGATAAATATTCTACAAAATAGATAGCATAAAGAAAAAACAATCAAAAATTCAGGAAACTTTGGACACGCTTCTAGAAATGCGAAACACACTGTAAAGTCTCAGCAACAGAATGGAACAAGGAGAAGAAAGAAATTCAGAGCTTGAAGACAAGGTCTTTGAACTAACCCTATCCAACAAAGAAAAAGGAAAAATAAGAAAATATGAACAAACTCTCCAAGAAGTTTGGAATTATGTTAAATGACCAAACCTAAGAATAATCAGTGTTCCTGCGGAAGAAGACAATTCTAAAAGCTTCAAAAACGTATTTGGAGGGAATAATCGAGGAAAACTTCCCCAGCATTGCTAGAGACCTAGACATGAAAATACAAGCAGCACAAAGAACACCTAGGATATTCATTGCAAAAAGATCATCACCTGGGCACGCAGTCATCAGGTCATCGAAAGTTAAGATGAAGGAAAGAATCATAAGGGCTGTGAGACAGAAGCACCAAGTAACCCAGAAAGGAAAAACTATCAGATTAACAGCAGATTTCTCAGCAGAAACCCTACAAGCTAGAAGGGATTGGGATCCTCTCTTCAACCTCCTCAAACAAAACAATCTTCAGCCAAGAATTTTGTATTCAGCAAAACTAAGCATCATACATGAAGGAAAGATACAGTCATTTTCAGACAAATGCTGACAGAATTCGTCATTACCAAGCCACCACTAAAAGAACTGCTAAAATGAGCTCTAAATCTTGAAACAAATCCTGGAAACACATCAAAACAGAATCTCTTTAAAGCATAAAGCACACAGGACCTATAAAACAAAAATACAAGTTAAAAAACAAAAACAAAAAACAAAGTATGCAGGTAATAAAGAGCATGATGAATGCAAGGGTGCCTCACATTTCAATACTAACATTGAATGTTAATGGCCTAAATGCTCCATTTAAAAGATACAGAATTGCAGAACTCACCAACTAATTATCTGCTGCCTTCAGGAGACTCACCTAACACATAAGGACTCACATAAACTTAAAGTAAAGGGGTGATAAAAGGCATTTCATGCAAATGGACACCAAAAGCTAGCAAGGGTAGCTCATATCAGCCAAAACAAACTTTAATGCAACAGCAGTTTAAAAAGACAAAGAGGAATAAGGATAAAAGGCCTTGTCCAACAGGAAAATATCAAAATCCTAAACATATATGCATCCAACACTGGAGCTCCCAAATTTATAAAACAATTACTAATAGACCTAAGAAATGAGATAGCAACACAATAATAGTGGGGGCCTTCAATATTCCACTGACAGCACAAGAAAGATCAACAAGACAGAAAGTCAACAAACAAACAATCAATTTAAACTATACCTTGAAGCAAATGGACTGAGCAGATACATACAGAACATTTCATCCAACAACCACAGAACAGACATTCTGTTCAACAGCCATGGAACTTTCTCCAAGGTAGACCGTATGATAGGCCATAAAACGAGCCTCAGTAAATTTAAGAAGACTGAAATTATATCAAGCATGCTCTCAGGCCATAGTGGAATGAAACTGGAAATCAACTCCAAAAGGAACCCTCAAAACCATGCAAATACATGGAAATTAAATAACTTGCTCTCGAATGAGCATTAGGTCAAAAATGAAATCAAGATGGAAATTTAAAAATTCTTCTAACTGAATGACAGTAATGACACAACCTATCAAAACCTCCAGGACACAGCAAAGGCAGTGCTAAGAGGAAGGTTTATAGCCATAAATGCCTATAGCAAAAAGTCTGAAAAAGCACAAAGAGACCACCTAAGGTCACACCTCAGGGAACTAGAGAAACAAGAACAAACCAAAACCAAACCCAGCAGAAGAAAAAAAATAACCAAGATCAGAGCAGAACTAAACAAAATTGAAACAATAAAAAAGCAGTACAAAAATAAATGAAACAAAAAGCTGGTTCTTTTTTAAAAAGATATTTAAGATTGACAGGTCATTAGCAAGATTAGCCAAGAAGAGAGAAAATCGAAATAACGTCACTGAGACATGAAACACTACTGAAATACAAAAGATCATTCAAGACCACTATGAACAACACTTTTACACACATAAACCAGAAAACCTAGAAGAAATGGATAAATTCCTGGAAAATACAACCCTCCTAGCTTAAATAAGGAAAAATTAGATACGTTGAACAGACCGGCAAAATGCAGCAAGGTTGAAATGCTAATTAGAAATTACCAAAAAAGAAAA